CCTCACCTAAGGCCATGTATGAGCCACCTTCCTTTAGGAACAGTAGGTCCAGCTAGGGTGTCAGCCTGTCTCTACAACTGCTTGGTGGAGTCCTGTAGATGTCCAAGATGTCTCTGTCTATCTGAGAGCTTAGAAGCCTAAAAATTTTTATTGCCCATGGCTAGGGTGGTGGCATCCAAGGCAGCAGAACCTGCAGTGTCTGTTCCCACAAGGAGGGGGACAAGGATGACGGCAGGACTTCTTTAGGCCCTTGAGAGACCTGGGTCAAGGTTGAAGTGTTCCCGCTCTTCCTCTCTGTTATCTAATATACCCCCCCACCCCCAAGGTAACCTTTAAACTTTTAAGGATTAAACAAGAGCTCTCAAATACTTTTGACATTTCTGGACTTTGAAACAGACCAGGCTGCTAAGAGGCCCAAGGACGTTTCGGCTGTTAACCACTAAACAAACTGGCCATTTATTTTGGCGGGGGAGGGTCTTTTTACCCTAACTTCCTAGCTAATTTCTACCTCCTCTTCTTTTCACATGACCCTATGAAGGGGTTACCCAAATTGTCAGTTAGGGAATCAGTGCAGACCACTCCGGCTTCTTCATGCTGAATAGGGGTACAGGGTGTGGCAACTGGGGTACCCCTTCAGTGGATCTATCTAAAAGACCCCAAATTGCATAACTGTTAGCTGTAGGGAGAAAAAAAGTCCTTGACCAGTGCCTGGGAGATGTAAAGGCAAGAGTAGTTAGCATTACAAGTTCTAGACAGGGAACCAGGAAAGGTCAGAACATGGAGTGACTAGAATCAGTGTGAGTTTCCTCCTAAATGGCCTCTAGACAGGGAGAGCAAACAAATTTAGCCACCATTAAATTTTTTTAGCCTGGAACAATAGTGGGTTTTTCCTTTTGGCTACAGGTAAGGACTGTAGAGTTGATTAGGCCAGGATTTGAAGTCTTACTCTTGAGCAGCATTTTCTTATCAAGAATAAGATAATTAGAGAGAAATTGTCTAAATAACATCTTATATGAACTTAAGCCTAATGTCTGGGAAGTATAATCCTTTGGACTCTTAAGGAAATATTCTAATCATTTTAATCTTTAGTTATACTTTCCTGTTGGGTATTTAAGACCATGTAGTTGGCCCAAATAAACCAATTTATTTTCCCTCTTAAGGTCAGTCGAGAATCTGTTCTTCAGGAGTCACATGAACTTGGGAGGAGCCTCCAGCTCCTTAGGCCTTTCTTTTACCAGGTCTGTCTATGTGAGGCTAAGTCAAAGGTCCTACTCGACCAAAACGTTTCCTCTGTATTGACCTTCCTCTTCACAGACTGGACACTGGTTCAAGTCCATCTGATAGGGTCTCCATGGCCTCCCTGAACAAGAGGAGAGGTGACTCACCACCGTTTCAAGACATTTCAAGAGATGCTCCATAGTCCCCTGGAACTTAGTCGACCTTGGAGGGCAAGGAACAAAAAATTGTCACTTTAAATCCCTCTGACCAGATTAATATAGGCCTCAAAGTATGGCTATTAAACACCCAAGAAGGTTAGTTCTACCAGTGTGGTACTTTTAAATACCATGTGCTATGTACATAAAGATTGGGTAAAAACTAAGCATTATCAGATAAACCTTGACTAGACATATATTTTGTTCCTTGAACTAGTTGATTGAACTATGACCCTAGAAATTTTAAGATTATGTGTATATTATTTTTGTCTCATCCTTTATATAGTGTAATAAACCTACTCAGACCTTCATCACTTGCCTAGACGTTTTCCTTTTCTTTTTATTCTGGAAATATCCAGCCATCATGATCTTTATACATAAATCCTTCTTAATAAAATATCTCCATTCCCATATCCATCTAGCATCTTCTTTCACTTTTCCTTTCTTAATACCATGAGACATAATAATATTAACAAATAAACTTTCCATCTGTTGTGAAATTTCTCTTCCTGGGGATACTAAGCAATGTTTACCCCCTTTTTCTAAGGCTGTAGTGTCAAACTAAATTTTTAATTAAATTACAGTTCACCCTAGGGAACCAATGAATTTACTGAGTTTACTTACAGATATGAATGAGGAGTTACTGAGGTGTGTGGGTGACATGAGGGTACTTACACTGGAAAGTCTTTACCCAGCATGGATATTGACTTTTCTATAACCTCATGGATCAAGCCTTCTCTTCTTAGCCTCTCCCAGATTATATACTATAGTCCTTTCCAAATCCAGAAGACCATATATGATTAGGGCAAAATTACATACAGTTGACTGGGAAGAGTGGCTCAGGTGAAGGTCCAATGACCCTGCTTTTCCCTCCTTCAATGAAAACAACAAGCCCAATTGTGAGAAGAATATAATGAATTAATATTACCTGTGTACACTCTGTGGCTTTATAAGTTCCCAGATAAACCTTATAGAAAACACAAAACAGTTTTTTAAAAAATCCATTTTACCTTATGTAGTTGAGAGAGTGATCTACCAAAATCTTGCTTTATGTTTTGAAAGCATGTAAACAGTAAGTATGGAAAAGCAATGAATACATAGCAAAACATTATCAAATTGAAGTTTACAACCTTCATATTGATGATGTTATCATCAGTATGGGGACAGTCACATGGCTTGGTTGCCATCTTTGACAGTAACATTTTCAAAATGCCAATGACCTTTATGACCTTGCCACCATCTTAATTGAAACAATCATATGGCATAATTCAAAATGGCGATACCCAGGACATTACCAGTACTGGCAATACCTAGGGGTTCACGATAACCTAGGAAACTCACATTATGAAGATCTGGCATTACTCCCTTAATCTGACATAAAAAATGCATTAACCTTATTACAAGATAATAGAGACTGTTAGACTCTCCTACTTTCTATGATCCCATCAATAATCCAAGGTGAAAACAAAAACAAAAATAAATTGCAAGAGGATTGGAACATGTGACTCAATGCCTGTAGTTCAGGGAATTCCTAGGTTATCATGAACCCCTAAGTATCACTGGAACCAGTAATTTCCTAGGTATTTCCATTTTGAATTATGCCATGTGGTTGTTTCAATTAAGATGGTAGCAAGGTCACACAGGGATCATTGCCATTTTGAAAATGTTACTGTCCAAGATGCCAATCAAGTCTTGTGACTGTCCCCATATTGATGATGTCATAAACCAAGAAGAGGGCATCAGATCCCCTGGACTGGAGTTACAGGTGATTGTTAGCGCCCATGTGAGTGCTAGGAACTGAACCTGGGTCCTTTGAAAGAGCAACAAAGTGCTCTTAATCACTGAGCCATCTCTCCAGCTCAGGGTCCAGATTGATTAGCAATAGTTCCAACTCCCTTCTTCAGTGGATTACTGAAATCAGAAAGTCATTGTAAAATGCAATAGTGTCTTCATTCAATGTTTGGGACAGTTTGGAGTGAAGGTTGACATTTAACATTCAGCATGTTGAGCAAGTTTTCACCAGCCAACTCTGGCTTTCAGAAAATGACAGGAATATGGCAAAAGCATCCGTCTGATGATCTACAACCTAAAAAAAGAAGCACTGTGCTTTGGAGGGATGCTATCTTCATGGTCTTTCTCAAAGTCCAGATGGCCTAGCATACTAGTTGGAGGGTCTCTGGATTTAAGACATTATATACTGAAAGCAGAGAGGGAGAAGAGAACATAAAAAGGAATTTTGGTTTTTGCATACATAGCATTTATGCCCAGGTGGTTGTGTGTCTGTTGAAATAAATCCCTTTTCCTGGGAGCCAAGAGATGGCCATTCAAAACTACAAAGCAAAAATGTGTCCCCCACAGCAATCTAGCTTGGGAAATTTTTATTAATGACATGCCCCTTCCTTTAAACTGCAGTGAAATATTCTGTTGCTAACAACATAAGCTTAAAAACAAGTAAACAGTTCTGCAGTTTTGTGTTTTGTTTTGAAGGCAAGGCCTTGCCACATAGCTCACACTGACCTGGAATTCTCCATCTTCCTCCCTCAACCTCCTGAGTAGTGGGATTATAGGCTTATATACCACCACATGCAGAAAAAAGTCTTCATTTTTACAAAACTTACTTTAAAAATATTCAGAGTACAGTTATCAACATGCACACATTTCCCTTGACATCAGCCTTACCTTCAGCCATCTGTGCCCGCTTTGTTTTGGCATCTATTTCCTTCAGGCTAGTCCCATTCTTACCAGCACCAGCTTTTCCCTTCTCGCTTTGGGCACCTTCTTTTCCTTCTTGACAGGACCCCTTTTAGGCTTGGGCTTCTTGGGGGAGCAGCTTTAGTCAACAACCTTGAAGACTTTCTTTAGTCATGGCCATCACTTTGGCTTCATCTCTCATCATACCCCCCTCCACCTTTCTCTTGGACATGGTTGTAACAATGCAGGACAGAAGTACTGGACATGGAGCTGCAGTACAGCAAGGGCTTGGCATAGTCTGGGAGTTGGTTTCTCCTCTTTACACTGCTCCTTCATTTGGGGGTAAACATCAGAGGATGGAAAGAGTGTTCAGGGGACAGTAGGAATAGGGAAAATGAAGATACAGATATGAGGAGGCTTGAGAAACAGTGATAGTTCTAGAAATACAGACTAGATTCAAGCCATCAGGTTCAAGCGCAAATCTGTTTTGTTTAAGGATGCTTTAACTGTTACTTTTCTCTGAGAAATGAGAACTCTCTTTTCTCATTCTAAATGCATGAGATCTTTTTAGATTGAACATGAAGAGGTTGAATTTGAGGGATTTGTGCTTTTCATTAAGAAAACAACTGCGGAGAATGTCAGCAGATGCCTATGTCTCTTGTGAATGTTTAAGAATGTTCACCTCTGCAATTGTTTTAGTTGAGATTCTTGTAGCCTCAGAACCAAGATTATAGGTGCTTATTGTGTGAGGACACAGGTTCAATCCCCAGCACCCACCCCACCTCCCCCACACGCCCAGGACAGGAATGCCATCCATGATACCTCTAGGTGGCGATTGTCAGCAGATGCCCTTTGGGGTTCCCTTCTACTCTGCAGGTCCTGAGTAAGCTGGTGATGGAGGAACTGCTGCCAACCCTTCAGACTGACCTGCTGCCTAAAATGAAGGGGAGGAGGAATGACAGGAAGAGGGCCTGGTTTGGTGTAAGTAATGATGTTTCTCTGCAACTTGCTACTCAAAGTGAACATTCCTTTCTCTGTTCTTGTTAGGGCATTTGGTGGTGTTTTAAAATAATTCTTTCATAAGTAAAGAAATGCCTACTTTGAGGCTGCTCAATCTTACTGACCTAAGAATTGAACTTGGAAAATTTGAACGTGTGCTCAGTTCTGTGTGTGTGTGTCATTAGAGTCGGTGATGGGCCTGCCTCCCTCCCCTCCTGACTTCTTCAGTCACAGTTCATGTGCTGTTCCCTGTTGCAGCTCCTAGAGGAGGCTTACAACCTGGTCCAGCACCAAGTTTCAGAAGGATTAAGTGCTTTGAAGGAGGAATGCAGAATGCTGACAAAGGGCCTAGAAGGGACCATCCGCTCAGACATGGATCAGATTGTGAACTCAAAGAACTTTCTAACTGGGAAGATCAAAGGTTGGTAGAGACACTTCATGCTGCTCCTAATTAAGTAAGAGTCCGGTTAGAGATACACATAGGTGGACTGTATCCCTCTGTATCCATGGGTCCCACATCTGTGGATTCAACCAACCACAGATTGAAAATATCCAGGAAAAAAAATGTTTGCAGACTTGTTGCTATTACATAGAGCGCGGCAACTATGTGACATTTACACTGCATTGAGTATTATAAGTAAACTAGAGATGACTTAAAGTACACAATTGGATGCCCATAGGTTATATTAAAATACTGTACCATTTCAGATCAGTGATTTTAGTGTTCCTGGATTTTGGCCTCCTCTGAGGTGTAGTGGGTGGATATCAGAACCAATTGTCCTCAGATCCAAGGGATGACTGTCCACCACTTCTGAGAAGAATTAAGCTGAGGGAATTGAGGGGAAGCGATAAAAGCTGTAGTAAGACTGAGCTGTGGGTGCTAAGCCTTCAACTATCCATGGATGTTTATGGACTCAAGGTAAAAGAAACCTTGCTTCCTGCTTTGGGGTGGTACCTGTGTATTCTGATGAAGAACGAGTTTTCCTTAGACAGCAAAGCCTGCAATTTTTGTTTATGGTTAATAGACCTGGATTTGTAATCAGTCACATGTACTTGAAGAGTCATTTGGCTTCTGTTTCCTTGATATCCCTATCTAAAATCAGAAGGGTTGGCAAGAGGATGATTGGCAAACTGTGGTCCTCAGGCTGGATCTGGGTCCTGCTTGATTTTATAAATGTCTTACTGGAACATGGCCCATGTTCATTCATTAGGCCTTGGTCTAGAGCAGATTTTGTGCTAACACAGCAGAGCCAAGCAGTTGGAGACCTTTGAGACTGCAGAGCCACAGATATTTACCATCTAGACCTTGACCAGAAAAGAAGATTGGCCCATTCCCACACAAGAAACTTTAGGCAGGCTTGAAGGGGTCCTATAGGATACATTCTGTGGCTCTCCATTCTGTCTGGGTCCTGCAGCCCCGTGCACACAGCATGCCTTATGCCACTGCAGAGCAAGAGCATGTAAGCTCCTCCATGATTGTTTATCAGTAGTATTTCTGGATAGTCAGTGGTCAGATTATCACTCACTCACTCATTGAAAATGTTTACCAAGTGCCTTCTGAGCAAGCCATAGAGCTTGAGATCCTATGCTCTGGAGGCTAGTGGCCTAATGTGGTTGTCCACCAGGCAAATTATGTTCTGTGATTCATGCCTTCCTCATACCACAGCCCAACATGCTTCTGAGCACTTAGAACAGGTCTTACTGAGAGATTAGAAGTGGCTTAGATGCAAGTGTGTGGTGTCTGCTCTGTTTCTGCCAAACCTTCCAAAGCCAGATACAGATTAAACCTCAGTGTTATTTCTTTTGGTATCATCTAGCCTCACAGCCCATCAAGAGTTGAATATATGTTGAAATACTTGCACACTTAAAATAGCCAAAGTTCTGTTCTCTCGGGTCCATGTGAGCCTAACTGTAAATATTCCCATGGCTAGAATTAGACCATTCTCTTTTGCCTGATCCTCTGTGGCCTCCACATACTCATATGTGAAAAAAGATTCTTCCAGGGCTCATAATTGTTTCCTAAAAGAAATAGTGAAAGGAAGTAATGATATTTTAAAGATGAAAGATCAAATAGGTGTGGTAGACTCACCTGTAATCTCAGCATTCAGGAAGTTGAGATCAGGAGGATGATGAGTTTCAGGCTAGTGTAGGCAGGAAAAAAAAGTCAAACCCTGGAAAGAGAAGAAAGAAAGAAAGAAAGAAAGAAAGAAAGAAAGAAAGAAAGAAAGAAAGAAAGAAAGAAAGAAAGAAAGAAAGAAA